CCCCCCCCCGCCCAGACTCAGGGCTCGGGCCAATGCACGGATGCCCTCTGTGCTCACGGCGCTTTCCGGTATGGCCAGACGACGGAGCTGGGGGAGTTTCGAGTCCACCAAGGTCTTAGCCAGGTACACCAGACCCTTGTCCGTCAAGGTATTGTGACCCACCGAGAGCTCTTCCAATACCGGACAGGCCGCCTGACTAAGCGCCTCGATCATCAAAAGCATGCCCACCGCGTTCGCCTTGTTCCCGTCCATGTCTAGTACCCGGAGGTTCGCCCCCGCCCCTCCTTTCAAAGCCTTTGCCAGCACCGTCACGCCACGGGAACCCATCCCATTCCCTGCCAAGCGCAGCAACCGTAGAGATGGCGCCAGCCCATGAGTCTGCATGGCAATGCTCAACGCCTCCGCCCCCCCTGGCCCGATTCCGCACGCTGTCAGGTTCAACGAGTCTAACTCAGGACACGCTCCTCCCCGCAATCGCTCCGCCAACATCCGCGTCCCACAGGCGCCTAAGCGACGTTGAGAAAAGTCGAGGGAGCGCATTTGTGCGCAGGCGTTGATGCCCATCAGATCCAAGAGGCTGCGGACCGGCATGGCGTCCAGGTTCAAAAACGACATGACATGCTTCCACAATTCGGAGGGCAACAGGAACCTGGGAGAAGCCTCCAGACAAGACGACGAGGAATAAGGAAGGCTGCTTGTATCACTGGCAGCGCAGGTGGTAGACGGGAGGGTCAGTGCGGTCCGACTGGCCGTGGTTTGCGTCGTGGACGACCATCGAGCTGCTTTGCTTCCTCGTCGGTTCCTCAAGGCGGCTGTATCCATGCTTGCCCCTGCGCCCAAAGCTTCCGAGATCAAAGGAGCATTTTGTGTTGTTAGCAAGCCTGCAGCGGAAGGCGTCGTGAGGACGAACGAGGCATTTCTTTCCACCGCGTCGACACCTTGCAAGGTGGAAAATCGCCTTGTGGTCATCTAAAGAATTGCGTGTCTACCTCCTTCTGGCTGGCCTGCTATTGAATGGAAAAGAGAGGAAAAAGATTAATGTAGGCGGTTTACCGGTCATATACTTCCTCGATGGAGGAGGATACGAAAAAGGGAAAGAGGAAAATTGTTGCGAGGTAGGGACACTTCATGACTTGCGTAAATCGGGTGAAAACGAAAATTTTTAGCTGAAATGTGTAATTGTTGTGTTAATCGAGAATAAAAGATTTTGCGAGATTACCAATTGCGGGTAAAAACGGTGGGCGGCACGTGACGTCTCGCTGGGCTTTGGAAGGAACAAGACTCGGCTTGTCGAGGACGTTCGAAATAAAATGAGCACGCACCATCTCCCATCTCTGCAATTAAAGAGGTCAGCGTTGTTTGCAAGCCCCTCCGAGATAAATGCATGCCCCTGAAGACAGTGAAGTACAGTCCAACGACCCAACGAAAAAAAACTTGCGCGCTCCGCACCAAGACCGGTGGCTTCTGGTTTCCTTTATGTCGTCCATTTGAAGGCCGCGCAGGCTTGGACCAACGGCTGACAAAGAGTTTGAATTTTACCGTTTTTAAGCCCGGGGAGGTCGAGTCCAGCCCAAAAAGGCGTGGCGACCCACCTGGATGCCCGGCAACGATAAAAACCACGTTAAATTGTGGTGTATGCCCGTCTAAGCCTGTAGTGTGATGAGGTAGCACGCGAGGGACAAACATGATTTGGAAAAACTTGTCCCAACGGCCCAAGGAGTGCGTTGGGAAGCGCGGGAAACTCTCGTCCTCGATCAATCTACGTCATTGTCGCCTTTAGCTAATCATAAATGTACGGTGAAACCAAATCCCCCGTATTCTTTCCAAGCATTTCTGGTGTCTTGCTTGGGATGATTAATTAATAGGCACCGGATAGCTTGTATGTGTGTCTCTGTTTGTTGTCGATTCGCCGGAAAGACATCACGCATGTGTCCAACTCCATTTGTAAGAAGGCTATATATGCAAGCGAAGAGCCGCCTACAGACAATTCGCCCACAGCTCCACCTCCGAAGCTTTTAATTGCCATCCCGGGACCCTCATAAAATAACAACGCTTGTCTAAACACCGAAGTCACGCAGGATGTACAAAAACAGTATGGAAGGAAGAAGGATGAATCCACCCTAGTTTGGTTAGAGGAGGAAGTGAGCTCATGGAGGAAACGAACGTGAAGCGAGGAGAAATGATTGAAAACGCCTTGGAAAAACCAAAAGAAAATGCCAATTCTTTTCACGACGTAATTGATGGTGCTGTGCCACCCATATCTTTCGTGACTCTTCTTTCCAAACATTCCCTGCTAAAACCATCTGTTTCAGTAACGACCGCTTAGCCCCTTAGTCCTATGCCTCATCAACGTTCACTAAGCCCATCAATTTTGCTTCTTGTCTTTTGTGGCCCTCTTCTCCCCTTTCTCCCTCCTCGCCTTCCCCCCCCATCTCCGTCCCTACCCGCACCCACTATCTGTTGGCCTGTATGGTACTTCCTCCACCACGCCCGCCTTATTCCTCCTGAAACGCGTGTCCACAGGGTCAAATCCCTCTTCGGGCGCCCCCTTGAGGGCCCATGCGGGGGTCTCCGCGCAATAATCCGAGGCGTCGAATTCGGTGCCATCCTTCTCGAACTGAACGCACGGTCCATCGATATTCAGTGACCCAGAGGCAGCGAGCAGGGAAAGGGAGAAGGGGAAAGGAAATAAGAAATGGAGAAGGAGGAATACAGGTCTAATTAAGTGCCTTTGCTACTCGAGATTGCCTCCAAAACCTCCTTTTTGCAACCTTCTTCCCCTTCCTCCCCATCTGTCCCCCCCTGCAATCCCTCCTCCCTACCCGCTCGATCAAATCGTGGAATTTCGCATAGTCGATCCAAGTGTACCATTTCCCCCCCCGGTAGAACGTCTTTTTCCGCGCCAGAAGCGTGCAGCAGGAATGAGCGTGCTCCGCCATGAATTCGTATTCGCCTGTATCCAAAGAAAGGAGGAAAGGAGGGAAGGAGGGAGGGAGGGAGGAAGGAGGACAGGGAGCGAGGGAGGTAGGAGGCGAAATAAGGAGGAATACGAAAGAAAATGGGCCGGAACACTCCAGCACATGTCTGTGCCACAAGAAGCACTACGGGGAAAGTCCACTCTCTGCTCCTCCCTCTCTCCCTCTCTCCATCCCTCCATCTCTCCTTCCCTCCTTCCCGCCCCCCCTTCCTCCCAGGCGCACCTTCCGTCCGATCGGCGATAGCTTGGGCAAAGGCCCGCACCTCGTGGTGCCAAGGCACATTCTCCTCCATTCTGTCCATTGAAGGGGCAGCGCAAGCTTCAATCGACACATCCACTGATATTCATTCTCTCAGACCTTCCCCGGTTTTCCCACCCCCTTCGCTCCCTCGCTCCTGCCCGAACCGTCCCTCCCCCTCCCTCCCTC